CAATCTGCCGATTCGCCCTTTAGCAAACTCGTAAGAACTTACTACTCAGAAGTAGAAAAGCACAACAGTAGCACCAATGGATTTTTGGTAGCTGCGCCGCTTAGAGATTTAACAAATTATAATGCTTCAACTCTAAGGTTACTAACCTTACTACCCATACTACCCGTTACTACCATTAGCAACGGTGGAGCCCAATGTCCCCTCGAAAGCTCTAACCCAGTAATAACGATAGGTTGTGGCATCCTTTAACTGTGCGACAAGGGAATTTTGTTGGTGGAGTCCTTACTTTTTCTAACTTTACAACTAGCGAGTACCAACGAAGAGATGGCGTGTATTCGCATAACGGTAAGTAAGTGTTATGCCTTCAGCGAGTGAGCAGTGACTACAGCTACGATGGGGTAGGGTCGTCCCTGCCGACATTTGTGCCCGTGATTATTGTTTCGCTCTATAGGGGCATCAAACACCGTCTGCTCACAAATATCTCTCCATAAAACAATTATCTACAAACTCGGCATCGATTTGAGAGAACTTGCAAGAATGGAATTTCGCCTGCAAGTGCTATTGCTACTACTACTAGTGCTGATGCTGGTGCGGTTTTGTTCTGGCAAGTTCATCGGTTCCTTGTTATCCATTTTCATATGCCAACCGAACCGTGGGCAAAGATGGTCCCCCCTACGATCGATTCTTCTTAAAACTTCAGCATATTCATGTCTTCGTTCTGCTAACCTTTAAACATCACTTTCGTTTTACCACATTGTGTGTATATCTGGAACATATATGTATGTACTTATATATCTAAATCTTTTGTATCGTATGTATATGTGGGTTCTTGCGACGCGCATTGGTGTTGTCTTTCAAAATCGTTTAATGTCTTTCAATCGATTCTAGAGAATTTCAATATAATAGCTGAAAAGCGTATTGAAATATCTCCTAATTGGTTTAAAATTCCAAACGAACGAAAGATGTGTATGTGTGTTTTATGTTATTCAAAAGGAGACGATTGTGTGCGTGTGTTTTGACAAATGTTGTGCCATTTCATTGTTTTTGTTATTGTGGTTTTTTGAATTTTTTACTTATTTTTTTCTTTTTTTTTCTTTTTTTTTTTTTTGGTCAATCTAATCACAGCCAGTATGAAATCGTGTGACCAAATTGAATAAAATAAATAAAAAAAAAACTGATACACGATCGTACTAATCAAACCATAGCCACCAACAGCAAAATACAAAAAAAAAAAAGAAAAAAAAATTAAAAAAATAAATAAAAACTGAATTTGACTAAAATAAAACAAAACTGCATTCTGAAGCGTATGCATAGGCTCGACGAATGCTTCGACGATGTTCGAATGAATAGATAAATGTAAATGAGTGTGTGCGTTGTACAAAACATGGTGTAACACAGCATCGAAATGTTTTAATTGATGTTTAACAACATTCATTATTACTTATTTGTGTTATAACGCGCATTACTGTTACGAGTTTAGTTATGCGTGCGCATGTGAAGATTACCTTAAAATTTATAATAAAAAAAAATAAAAAATAAATATATATATATATAAAAAAAATTAAAATAATTAAAAAGAAAGAAAAATACAAAAATGGTTTTTCAAGTTTTTTTTTTCTTTTTTTTTTTTTTCTTTTTTGTAATGATATTGTTGTGTGTGTTGTTGCGACCACAAACTGCGACTGCTCATTAGCTGATTTTATATAATGTGTTTGGAGTTAAGAATGCAAACATTGCCAAAACTCAAATGTCCATCGTCGTCATCTCATATTCAACCCCATCATCTAAAACATCTCATCAAAGCTTGCCAATGATCGCAAGCACCAAAAAAAAAAAAAAAAAACCAAATATTTCGCTATTCCCTCAATTAAACATATGTTCAAATGTTGTTTCTTTCGTTTTTAGCGTTTAGTGAAGAAATATATTTTGGTTTCTTTACAATCACTACAGGCCGAAGAATGTCTACTAAGTTCATTAAATGGCTTGTAACATTCATAAAAATGTCTGCATAAATCTTTATGAGAGATGCACAGCATTGGGGAACAAAAAGATGCGAACGAACTTCGCCAATTTGTCCAACCTACCCGCCCACTAGTTTATTCCTCTATTTGCCGAGCGGTTTGTGTGTTTTATTACTTTTAAACGTTTATCGGTCCCACTAGCTGTGCATTTGCCCATCGATTGATCCGTGCATTACTGTACATTTACCAATCCATGGATCTCGTCCATCTATCAGTCCATCTATCATTCCATCCATCGATTTATCGTTCTCATCCGTATATACGTTCTTAACTCGATCCCTTCCGAATCAATATGTTGTCCGAACTAGTCTTCCTTCTGCTTGCTCGCACAGCTGTCCGTCTTACTATTCTCTGTTCTATTCGCTATTCGTGTATCATACGAATACGACTGTCTAGTCTTCTGATGGTTTCTTTATCCATCCTTTTTTTAGGACGTCTGTTCATCTCTTTATTCGCTTTCTTTTCGTCTCCTTGTCTATTAAGCGACTACTTCTGTATACACTCGCCGTCGTTTCTTTATTCCCTTTTTTTCTCGTTCGTGTATACGTCCGTTTAGAGGTCTCTTCATCAGTTTCTCTGACCACCCGGTTTCCCTTTATCCACCCGGTTTTGTGTTTTTCTTCTTGTTTGGTAAGTCAGTTTTTCATTTCGACGACGATTCTTCTTTTTTCCATACATATATCTATTCATCCATGTGCTCGTTAGCCTGTTTATGAAACTACGTGTTACGATTTCTTTCCTTTTTTTTTTACCTCCTTATACCCCCGATAAACGTTCTTCCACCTTTTTATATTCTGTGTTAGGCTTATTGTCCCTTCTCCATCCGCCTCTTTTTGCGTCTCAATATCTCTCTGATCATTCGTTCGTTTGGAGGCTTTTCTCTTTTATGTTATGTGGCAAATTTTCGACAGTTTAAGAAAATAGTTCTCTGTCTTGAATATAATTTAATTTACTCCCCAGAGGGCTCTTTTGGAAGCTATGACAACGCATGCGAGTAACAGGTCGAATATAAAGAAATGGCCCTGAATATTTTTTTCATTATTTAATACCACCCATCAGCTATCGATCCGAGAGTTTAAACGAACACTTTCAAAAATCTTTTAAAAACTCACAATGGGAAATGACGTCGCTATTCACATCTGTCCGTCCCTGTACATGTTTGCTTAGCCACGAAGTTGAAGAAAGTACGAAAATTGCGCAATAAACGGTTGAAAGTTTCAAAGATCAACTTGAGTTCTCTCCCGCTCGTGATTAAGGAATTTTTCCTTTTTTTAACTAGCAATGACATCAAAATATTTATATCCGTAATCTAGCTATCCCTTTAAAAGTATATATGCGGCTCCTTTGTCTTGTGCAAGTGCATAATATTATCTGGCATTATTTACTTACCCAATAGATATATTTATGGAGATGTTACTATGATCGAAATAATATATTGAATCAGTCATATTCTCAAAGATCTTTTAAGCACTTTTGGGCGCAAAATCAGGCTGTAGTTTAAGCTTTTTGCTTAGTTAAAATAGTTATAGCAAGTTTCATCTTCTTTTTCTACTTCCTCTCTGACTTTGAAAATGTCGACAGCCCATGTGTAAAGGAATAAGAAATTGGGCCAACGTTGCTGAATCGATTAAATATCGTTAAATACCGTTATAAACGGAATAATTGTGGTCTATAATGGTCTCTAACAATGTCGTATATAAATTTTCAGCAAAAGTTGTTTAACTTTATCGATATTTTTAGTTTTATTATTAGTTAGCTGTAGTAGGTTGGAGAGACGCTGGGTTAAATCTGCACAAGGGAGCAATCCATTCGTAGAAAGTCTGGCTGAAGATATCTTATGAAATTTATAGGATGCAAGGTGAACATTACCAATGGCTTGATATGCCTTCATTTGCCTTTAATTCTAAAAGATATGAGATTTTAAACCTCGGATACATTACTATGTATTTAAGGGTTAAGGATTCTGATAAGGAATAGAATATAATAGAATGTAATAGAAAAGAATACAATAATAATATGCACAAGTTGAAAAAGGAATTTTACATTAAAATATTTTAAATAACTGTATAATAATTATTGATATAGTACGAATAGGTTGAAGCGTTCAAAGGAAGCCCAAAAAAGTGCGATTGTTCGTCAAATGTTGCAAACAGATTTGTTGCAATTTTTAGAATTTTACGAAGTTTAAACTTTCAATCAGCATTGAAGCGTTATTCGCATGCCCAAGATACAATTTCTTTGGATTATTTTTCATTCTGATACAACTTCAGATATAGACGTCCGTGCAAGTGTATATAAATACTTGGATGCGTGTACTTATGTATATATTATATTCGTAACTTTGTATACTCACATATATATACATAAAATATATATGGTTCCAATGTCTGGAATGTTTTGTTTTTTACATAACTTTAAAATATGTCTTTTAAATATATTTATGTATAACTTTTTTTCAATAAAGTCATTAGGATGTAAAGCATAGCATAGGTCGGAATGTACATCTTGTGATCGAATAAATAAATAAATAAATAAACGAATCAAAAATTCTCATATATGATCATCTGATATTTTATTTAAGTGATAGGTACGGTAAAAAGTATTGCGCCTAATACCATTGATTATACCAGTGTAGATAGCTCTATGAATGAATTGAAGCTCAAAACGTATTTTGGGAGAGAAAATGTAAAACACAAAGAATCATTTAATCGCCATAGAACATAAGCGAATTTCCCGGAAAGTAAATGTTAAGTAAGCCGAGATAGACTCAACCTGAATGAATAATATAGGTTCTTATCTAATTATTTCTTCACATACAAACATATTTAAATTTCATTTTCGTATACATGCAGTTCTTGTATGCAATTGGTAATCATAATTATTTTTTCTTTCTTTTTTGTTTTCGCTAATTTATCAATGTAACAAAAAATAAATAAATGTTAAAGGAAAGAGAAAGAAAAGTGAAATATCAACACTTACCCATTTTGTAACAACTCTTTAGAAAATACGAAACCGGTAAATAAATACTTGGACACATTTTTGCATTTACATGAGATTCTCTCTATTATTTACCCATAAATGCACTTACAGTACAGTACAAGTACAACGAGTTTATTTTGTAATTATTCAACAATAACAAAATAATAATAAACAAATACTTAAAACACAATTGATTTCATCCCCATTTTCCTTTTTTCAATCCTATTTTTTTTTTTTTATTTTTTTTTTTTTGTTGTTTTGCATTACTTCTAATATGAAATTTATTAAACTAATTTTTTATTGATTTTAATTTATTTAGAAATTTTGCACCTGCTTCGTTTACATATAACTAGAGTAAGAATGGAAATGTTTTTAAAATATTCAAATCAACATGGCTGTCACAATTTGTTTTTGTTTCCCTTTTATTCGCTCCTGTGCATTTATTCAACAATTTGAACCAATTGTTTCGAAGACCAAATAAACAAAAAAAAAAACAAAATATATAGAATGCTTAACATTTCGACCAGTTTATCTGCTATTTAACATAACTGTTATTAACATTATCTTAAGAAGAGCTTTTTCAAAAAAGTTATGATATTAATCACACAGTTATTAAAAGCTTTTATAAAGCTTTCTATTAAATCGATAAACCCAGTGAATCAAGCCGAGAGAATTCAAAAAACATTTTTTTTCGGTCATTTACGCAATGCATATAAAATGAAAAAGAATTTTTTTTTTTTTTCTTTTGATAGAGAGAGTCATATAAAATTTGCATTTTTGCCAAAAGTACTCACAACAAAGGGTTGAAAATTTTTTACAATCGGCGGGGCACCAATCTCGAGAATTTTCGTTTTTTTTTTTTTAAATTTGGTAAGCGATTGCAAAACATAAATAACTCAGCCGAAATCTTATAGAACATATATTAAATCTGTATATGAATCTCCAATGAGAATCTGGTAAATTTGAAGTGTGGTGTAACGCCTCGTCCAGTAGACCTTTCATTTTATTCAAGAGCATATCATTTTTAGATCATATAAAATTTTAGATAATAACGAATTCGTCATTTCTTAGCATTCCGACCATTAGCGCATAATTTACAGTTATTTCGTGAAACTTTTCCATTCATTTACAAGAGCAAAAGTAGCGTCACTAATACAAGTGCCAATGGTAAACCAATTTTTGGAATGTCATGAACTTTTGATAGATTTCGCTTGAAGTTTTCTTCTAACTAAAAATCATACGGATTCATTAATAGTGGCGACATCTACATGTCTAAATATCTTAAGGAAATGGATTGGATTGGATTTGACCTTCTTGAGTTTATACCCGATATAATGATATCTAGCGGAATATATCTTTTTTAGGGTAAAGGCGATAAGGATTTTCAATTTTCAGATATCCCCAGCTATCATGGGTTCTTCGTTTACGATATTTCGGTGCGAAAATGTTCATTTTGAAGATACTCTTTCCTTTCATATGCCGAAGATTATTTATGAAAATAAAGCTTTTTGAACGAAACCGATGATCGATATAATGAACATTAACGGACGTAATGTGAAAAGTGATTAGTTTGGTTCATAAAATTTTGTGGCGCATGAGAACACTTTTCGGGCCGGATAAGCCAGGTAATGTTCATCATTTTAAGTCTTAGCGTTTTGCATTTAGCAGATATAAAGCTAACGTTATTTAAACAATTTTCTCGAGATATTTATGGAAACTCAAGATTCTTATTAGGCTCCGAATTCATGCATTTTTGCAAAGCACTATACTTACGTCACATATTCATGCGTTTATTGCTGTATTGCTATTAAATGGCTATTTAAAAGTTAAAACAAATGATAGGGGACCACCATTAAAGGCCCGCCATTAAATTTGCATACATACGCACGAATTTTATATATCTTTGTTATAGAGTATGAAAGAAAAGCTCGATTATTGTAATTACATTTTTTTTATTTCATTCCGTATATATCTTTGCATTATAACTTCATATATATTTTATTATTATTAAGTTTTTTCATTTATTTTTTTATTTCACTTCTTACTTAAGTATATATTTATTTATGTGTATAATATGTGTATATGTATATATATATATATATATATATATATATATATATATTTCTACGTATCAAAATAAATTTTCTTTATAAAAAAAAAAAGTTTTCTTTTAATATGAAAATATTGTTACAAAAGAAAATGAATCAATCGACCAATTTGTGATTTATTTATATATATATATATATCTCATAATAATGTTTTTTATATGTACATACAAATGCGTTAACAAATTTAAGAAATTTTTAATAATAATCATAATAAACGAAATTTATAGTTGACTACATTATTAGGCTACAGTTTAAATTGGGCTGAAAAGTTAAAATATACAAAAATAAAATTTTTCTTTTTCTTTTATTTTGTTTGTTTTTTTTCTTGATTTTTTTTACAAAAATTTAAAGCAAAGTAAATGTTTGCACTTACAGTTAAGTATTATCGTTTAATAAGTATGCGTTGCTTGAGTAATATTTTCAAAAGGTGAAAAACAAAACTTAAATTAGAAAAAAAAAAAAACAAAAAAAAAAAATTATTTCACAATTTATCACGAGAGTATTTTTTGATCGATAATCATTGAACTCAATTCTATGAATATTAGTTGAGTTATGTGTTTTTCTTTTTCTTTTTTTTTTCTTCCTTTCTTTACTTCTTTTCATCCGATTCTATTTTTAATGACATAAACGTACGCATGTATGATTAATTGCAATATAAACATTATTATATATATATAATAGTTAAGTGATTTAAACGTGAAGTCAATAGCGAGATTGTAGAGAAAGAGAGAGTGAACGAGTGCTAGTGATTGATTCATGAGATAGTATAGTTTCTATATGAGTTACAGTGGACCTAGAGAAAAAATTTGGCAAAAATTTTTTTTACTGTTTTCCTTATATTATTTTTTATTTTTTTTTTTTTTTGGTTCATTTAAAATTTTTTTTTTTTTTTTTCTTGTACCCACCACATCTTAGAATCTTGAAAACCGAATTGCCAGAAAATTCAATGGAGCCGACTTAGAGTCGATTAGTTCGTTCGTTTTGGACGCTTGATATCAACCTAAACGGATACGTTACATGTGGTCCATGGGTATGGGCGAAAGGATTAGAATTAGGACTAAAGTACAACAATATTCGAGCTAGAACGCACAGTAGAATTGATTGAACGATTGATGAATTTTCTTATTACATTAACCAATTCTCCCAGATATAGTCCATAATTTTTTTTTTTTTTCGTTACTATGACTAATAACTGAACGGATATCCCCTTATCGTGTAACACGATCACAATCTGAAAGAAGTGAAGAAAGAGATAGAGAAGTCGCCGCAGCCTGGTGTGTGTGTGTCCCATCTGTAAGTGTTATGTGTGTGTATGACCAAAGGAAAAACTACTGTGCTAGGGTTTGAAACCGCGGACCTTGATTTGGTATTCGCGATTCGGATCTATTCGGCCACTTTTGTGGATAGGCTGAGCGGCATTCCTTCGCTTTATTAACAAAGCCTCGTGGTATATCAGACTTGTGCTTCCGCTCATAGTACTCCTCGGCTATATGCATTCCCATTCATTCTAGGTTTCAAAGCCAATTTGGTCATGTCTACATGTCCGTCCGTCTGCCCAATTTCCCATTGTCCACTGTCCATCTGCCCGTCGTTCTGTTCTGTTCATTTGCCCATCGTTCTGTTCATCTGCCCCTCCGTCTGTCTATCTACCTGGCTCTCTGCAAATCTCTCATCCATCTAATGCCATCTATTGTCATATGTTGCTAGAGCGCTCAGGTTCCTCAAGAATTAAGATAGAAAGCTGTAATATAATCGTTTTCGTTAAAACTCAAAGAACGAGTTTGACAATCAGAAGCCGACATTGGACAAAACTCTGTAGTTGACAATCTGCAACAGATACTAATTACAAATCCGGCGAAAAGAAAGTGAGCTGTAATCGCTTACCCATAGGCAAATGGGTGTGTTATAGGATACATCTAAATCTAAAATTCTTGTAATTATGTCGCAATTAAAAAAAACAATGTAAAAATAATTTCAAGTGGCCTGCTGGCCATGCCCACCTTTATAGTTATATGTGTACATATATTGAAATTCGAATAAATTCTTGGGATTGAGGTGGTGGAGATTAAAGTTTCGCCCTAAGGCGAACGTATTTTTCTGCTTTTTTCTTTTAAGAATTTTCAAAAAATATATTCAGGATAAGTTTCGATTAAATGTTGATTTGTGTTTACACTTAAATTAAGCAAATAAAATTTGAAAAAGTTATACGCATTAATAAAACGCTTTACTTAATTACATCCCCTATATACCTTAGGACAAAGTTTAGCTTAGAAAGTAAATGGTTATGTAAGCAAAAGATGGGTAAAAATAAATGTAAGTTTGCAAGCCAATGAAATGGAATAAATTGAAAAACGTAATAACGAATGTACAAACTTTGAATGATAAAGGATTTAAATAAAACAATTTTTTTTTAATCAACAAAACTCTTTTTTTTAGTCAAAAACATATTTCGGGGGCAAACAAAGTTGCTTGTATTTCAAGCATTTTTTTAGTGATTTTTAATCAACGATTCTTTGTTTAGTTATCGTTGCAAAATCCGAAGCCAGAAGGAATAAAGAAATTTCCAAATATGGGGAAGGCATCTTAAAAAGAGCAAGAAGTAAAAAGTGTAGCTGGCTCCTGCAAAATTACCTAAGAATCCCAAATTTATCAAGAATATAAATGCTTTGCGGGCTCTTTGTAGTGTTTTTTTTTTTCGCCATTATTAAGAAATAGAAGAAGCAGAAGAAAGACTAGTCTGCTATAACCTTCGTTTGCTTATAAACCATACAATAAATCCAAGGAGAACAAAACCTTAGTAAAAAAAAAAAAAAACCAATAATAAGTAAGAAGCCTAAAATTTTCATATAAAACTAATACTGAGCAGTAAACATAAATTTAAAAGAAATATTCTGAAAAAGGAATAATTA